TAAGCTTGAACTTTGACCTCAATTTTTGATATAGCAATCTGAAATTTCGTCGATCTTATAATCTTCCAATGAATTTTCCAGATCGGATCACTATAGCATATAGCTGCCATACAAACTGATCCAACAAAATCAAGTTCTTGTATAGAAAACCTTTTTATTTGACAATATATCTTCATGGAATTTAACGTGCATTACTTTCTAAGCCAACGCTATTATACCTGAAGAAATTTTTCAGATCGGATCTGTATAGCATATAGCTGCCATACAAACTAAACGGTCAGAAGCAAATTTTTGCCTGAAAACTTATTTATTTGTGAATGAAATTTTACCCTCGTTGCAATCATTTTTCTCCTTATAAAACTATTTCCAAAAACTAATATTTTTATGAGAATTCTAAACTCTTTCTACTTTATCGCACGCTCAGTGAATATTTTACTGATACGCCCTGCCTAACAAGGATGAGTATAATTTAAACAAAATGAAAAAAATGGCGAAAAACTCATTATTTTGCTAGAAAATCCTTTCATTAAATTTAGTTAGTTAAATATATTACTTTATTACTAATATATTTTCAAATTATTTACGAATAAAAATACTCAATTTCAATTTAAAAAATTGTTTAAGGTTATGCTCGCTTTAATTAAATTTACTAATGAAAACAAAATGAAAATTTTCAAGAAAACGGGCAATAAATTCTGCACTTACATAGGTATTAAGTCTAAAAAATCGCCTTGCAAAGAAGTCATTTGGGACCGGTACTAATTAAAGTTATGCTTTAAAAAAATTCATTTTTGTTTTTTATTATTTAATATAACTTTTTTTTTCATAATTTCAAAATGAAATTAAAAACTCTCCACTTTTTTCATATAAAATTATAAGCCATTAGTAAACTCACTTCTCACCAACACTGTAAACAGTGTGGCCATATTTATATATATATATATACATAAGTGCACATGTCACATGTCTTATAGACACTATTAGCGCGGCTACTTGTCTAAGTAAAAGAAAAGGAAGAACTAACAACTAGTTGCAGTCGCCAACCACTTTACGAACCTCATACTTGCTATTGTTGTTCCTGTATACTCGTATTAAAAGCCATTTTTTTTTTTTTTTTTTTTTTTTTTTTTTTTTTTTTTTTTTTTTTTTTTTTTTTTTTTTTTTTTTTTTTTTTTTTTTTTTTTGTGATTGTGTGCATATATACAACAAATTTTATTTTTTGTTGCACTCTTATATATACATACATACATATATACATTTTATTGTCGCCGTCATCTTTCAGCGCATAAGTCAACACTGCACCAAAACGCTTATGAATGAAATTTTTCACTTCGCACAAAATCGATTGACAGACGAAAACAGGGAAAACGAGTTTCGGTTTCGTTGTGTTAAAAAAATGTTGAAAAAGTTAAGTGTTAATCGCTAAAGAATACAATAAAAGCAAAATAAACCAAAAGCAGACAAGACACGCGAAGTTGGGTGACTGTAGGCGATGCACGTTGTTGTTAGAATTGACAAAGAAAAAGCAAAAGCAACAAATAAAATACTATAATAACTTTCTTGTAGTGTATTACACATACAGACTTACCAAATTTATTAAATTACCTTTTTCGATTTTTTTTTTTGCGGTAAATATTAGGTATCTTAAATCGATTGCAAGATTATCGATTTTTTGTTTAATTCTATCTTAAGTATTACGAAATCCATATTTGGCACTCCCAACTGTTTTGCATATTTAATTTCATATTATAGAGGTTTAATTATGCAAAGATTAATTTAGAATTGACTTTTTCATCCAGCGAATGGCTATTCATTTTTGGTCGTCAGTATTAGCTCATTCGCGTTTCGTATGTTGTTTTGTTTTTGCTTTGAATTTCAAGGACAGCTTCATTATATTGCCTATTGTGTTACGAAATATCGATTGATTGTTGAAATGTTTTTTTTATACATTAAGGAAATCAAAAAAAATTTGCGTTCTTGAGTCACAAGTATGCAAAAATTTAATGTCAGTATCTATTTTTGTGCTTTATATCGATTCAAAACTTTGTTTTCCAGAGTCTCAAGATGAGTGATTTTGTTGCGAATGGCGCGCGAATGACATTATTTACAGAACATGAATTTTCCTAATGAAGTTCAACGATTTTTAAACGTTGTTCAGACATTGGTATTTCCATAATGAATATTGGACAAAAATGGCACGACAGCTTGATGCAACTCACGTGTGATATTTCAAAAAGCGGCTGTTGAAAAAGTACCTTTACTTAAATCAGCCGTTAGAACTCAGTGGTTTCCACAAATACAGAAATCTATCTGACATCAATTACAGTTTCATTTCCTATACTAACACAGTTTAATCAACTCTACGTTCTGAAGCTCTGATTCTCATTCTTAACTAACTAAGAAAAGAGTTTCCTTTTCTAACAACTTTTCGCCCTCAGAGAGCAGTGCTATTACATTTTAGCTGAGCTGCGTATGTACCATACGTGACTCTTCTGATATCAATTGGTAGTAATACCAATGTTGATTTGGATTTGGAAAATAGTGAAGGGAATATCGCTATAAAACTGTTTGGTTCTTAACCCTTTTTTTTTTTTTTTTGATTCGGGAGCTTATTTAGTCGTATTTTCCAGTCAAAGAATAATTACTGTGAAGATTGCTATCTTACGTTGGAAAATCGGACACATTAAAGGTCCAAGAAAGGTAGATTTCGAAATCATTTCTCACTTTAAGTATATTCATGATAACGTGGATCACCGCGTCGCGGTGCCGCAGTTAGCTTTTTCGCAAATGGGTCTGGGGGAAAATTGAAAGAAGAGTCTTCTGGCTCAAGCTCTCAATCAACACTGTTTTCAGACGAACAGACCATTCTATTGTCTTTCAAGCTGAAATGAAATTATTTTCGAGAAGTATGCATTCATTTCGATAGCAGAACAGTCATACTGACTTTAACTAGCTGACAGCTTAGCTGTAAAACTTGTCTGGCTGACAATAAATCTGATGAGTAGGCAAGAAACCCATACCAGGGGTTCCTCTGTTTTCGTGCATTCGGCTGCATCCATAGGCCTCGCGCGACCACAAAAAGGCTGCATTGAATTGCAAGCTCACAGCAAGATATACATAGCTGCTAAGATACCGGGTGCACACATGAGCTGAGACTAAAGAAAAAAATTAAGTGGGGGAACATTTAGATACTTTCTTCTACATTGTCCAGCCTTCGCTAGACTAAAGTCAAAGTATGTCGGTGACCATACTTTCTACGAAACCGACGTATTAGCCGGAATCGATGCTAGTCGATTCAATAAAATTGTGTCAAGTTCTAAACGCTTTGTAGATGTACGACGGTCTTTTTAATCCGTTTAGGAGTTCTTGGCATCACAACGGACAAGCGTTTAAAGCTGCTCAAAGAGGATAAATCGTTTCATTTTCATACAGAGTACTCTAAGATCGAAAAGTAGCTATCCATTAAAGCCCTTTAAACTTTACTATTAACTCTAAATTTTTGAAAAATCTATTTTAGTTCCAGCAGCCAAAGATGACTTACATATACATATTATTTGCTATAAACACGCTTAAGAGACCACATTTATATACATTAACATGAGTTGTTTGGAGCAAGAGTTTCCAGCATCTGTCAGCGCTTTGTAATAAACCCATATTTCATGAAACAGAAAATCAAATAGCTACATTAAATGTTGCTCGCTTGCCAGAGATTCGAAATAATTTTCAACTTGTCCCAAATTTGTCAAGGCTGCAAACACCATACCAATTGCCTCGGTTCTTATCGCTCTGCAACAACACAAACAACATTTACATACTTGACTACACCAATTAACCCATTTACCTTTTTCTTTTGACAATAACAAATAATCGATAATTTGTTAATCCACACATGTGCCGCTCTATTTGTGCGTGGTGTGTATGTGTGTGTGTGTGTGCGTATGCTTTTGGCTTCAAGAACAGCTGCAATTGTTCTCAATGCACTTCAAATGCGAGCTTATCGACTTATGTGCAACGAAACGACTTAAGCGCAGACATATATGTATGTAGGTTATAATTATGTATGTACATATATACTTATGTAAATATGCAGGCAGAGTAATGAAAATAGAAACACTTAAAAAGTGTGTCTAGTAAGCAGTTGTATGCTGAGATAATCGCCGGACGATTAATGCCACAAAAGTAGACCAAACAAGCTTTAGCCTTATAATCAAAATTTTTGGTGAATTATTTACATAAACATACATATATATGTACAAATTTATTTATATATTTACTATCGTAAGCTAACAAAATTTATTATGCCACTTAAGATAAATATCACGATCACAATATCTTGTTTTAATAAGGATTGTCTGTAAACGAGTTAAATGAAGTAAATAAATAATAACGGTGGATCGGAAATTTTAAGTGATTTAAGTTATTTTGACTCTACTCATTTTTCAAAAAAAATGTACGAGTATTATCCAGTTGAATTCAGAGAGCAGAGCATTGAAAGACTTGAAAAATGTTGTGTTACGGCTAGCTATTTCAACTCTTTATATTATACCAGTCTGAGCGATTTATACTAGTTGCTTGTACGATTCGAAACATTACAATTTGTGATTATATATGTATGTCTCATTTGAGAGCATATAGCATAGTTTCGGCTATCCAAAACTAGCATAAACCTTTCTTAGCTAAACAATAATAGAAACTTCTAATATTTGCTGTCTTCGAATCACCAAAAGGTAGGGGCAAATCAAATCTTTAATTTGATACCCATATTTCTACTTTCTATTATTGAGCTAGAGTCAAATGAATGTCAACTTCGTTGCTTTCAAATATTTTTGACGAAAGTGTAAAGTATAAGTGAGTCCTAGAGAACTCTTCTGTATTTAAGAGAATACTTCTTGCCTGAAACTGTTTCACTGAGTCGTAGAGGGCCCTTCTATTTTTCTCTCTCCCCGAAACTGTTTACCAAATTTAATTGTTTATATTATTTCCTTACTTATTTCTTCCAGAACACTAGATATAAAAGAAGAAGATGACGATAAAGACGATATACAGGCCTTTTCTCCACCAACGAATTACATAACGATATCTCAAGGAAAAATTCAGCTAGTACACCAACAGCGCTCGCAGGAAAGTGATATTTCCGATGCGCAAAATCGAAAAGATCGGGTAAGTCGCTATAAAAAAACTGAAATGGTTATAAAGTTGTGTACTAATTTTCAACAACCTTAGAACTAACAATAAAATTTAAAAATTAAAAAATAAAAAAGTGCATTGATAAGTACTCGGTACTATTTCTAAACTGTTACTGATTTCTATTTCATGTCGCAATTAACCATTGGCTGCTTAAAGTTGATTACAAAAGTCATTTCATAAAAAAAAATATTGAGATCTAACTCAAAATCTGCTTTCCATTTTCGACTTTTGGTCCAATGCACTCGAAACTAACGACAGGTTTCTGAAGAAATTTAAATAATTACGGAACTCTATTTAGTCAAATACTCCCTGATCATTATATTATTATGTGCGCGATCTTGAAGATTTAATTTCAACCAATTTATTCAAGCTCTTTCGACTTTAGGTCCAAATCACTCGAAACAATCGGCAGGAGTCTGGAGGTCTCCTAAAAGAATTTCGCATCTCTATATAATTGAAGACTCAGGATTCATCATATTATTATCTGCGAGGTCTTGAGATTCAAGGTCCTCATAATTTCAACCCATTTATCCAATCACTTTCGACTTTAGGTTCAAATTACGCAAAATTATTGACAGGCTTCTAGAGATATCTTAAAAATATTTAAATAATTTCTATTTAGTCGAATTCTCGCTGATGATTATAATATTATTTGTGAGGTCTTGAAATTCTTGCAGCAGGAATTCTAAATTCGCCTGCATTTTGCTCCACTTATCTTAAAACATTTATGCAAATTACATTTTAGCTGAAAATTCAAGCATTTGAACACCTCAAAGAAGATGTTCCCTTCCTTCTAACCATATACACTCCCAAACTCAATGGATATCTCTTAGTATTCTTTATATACTTCTCCCAGAGCAATTTGGTTCCGTAGCCATAAAAATCTATAAAAATCTTACTTCAAAATATTTTTATTAAACCCTGATTTTGATTTCGATTGTTCATAAGATTTATACTATTATGGCTAGGAGAAATCGTTAACTATTTTGCTAGCGATATATAAGTATGTACTTAAGAAATTTTCTGTCATGTGAAAGCAGAGGAAAATTCTCTTTTAGACCATTACTAGCCTTGACTAAAGATGCCAATGCCAGATCCCAATATCCCGGTTTTCCAATAGGGATGATATGATTTCTGACCTGTACTCGATATACGTGGAATTGTAGGAAATTTCGAGAGTCCATTTTCTTTGCATATTGTTCAAGTGCGAATAAGACAAAGAATGGCTCGAATTAATGAGAAAGCAGCTGCCGTTAACTCAAGTCTTGAAAAAGCCCGCAATTTGTCGATTCCAAGGCGTTCTAAAGAATTGGTACTGTGTCAAACCATAATCTGACGAATTACAAGAAAGTAATTGGACGTACATCCATATAAAGTTGTTCCCACTCAAGAACTGAAGCCATTGAATTACCGTAAAGGTCGTAAATTTGCTGATTTTGCATTGGAACAACTTGAAAACGAAAATGATTTTTTTAAGATTGGGCTCCGATTAGGCTCACTTTCATCCGAGTGGTGCGGAAAATAAAACTGTCGATTATTCATAAACAGCCATTACATTCACCTAAATTTAAAGTTTATTGTGGTTTTTGGTCTGATGGAATCTTCATACCATACGTACTTCTTTCGAAATGAACCTGGTGATGCCCTTACTGTCATGAGCAGTATAGATCGATGATAGCAAACTTTTTATGGCCGCAATTGGAAAAAGTTGATCTTGACAACATCTGGTTCCAACAAGGCGGGCTACGAGCGAATTATTGAAAGAAAAATTTGGAGATTCGATTTCTTAAAATAAATTGTGACATAGAATGGCTCCAAGAAGTTGTGATTTAACACCATTAGATAACTTCTTTGAAGTCATTGATCTCTAACTGTTAACCAGATTCTCTTCAAGCTTTTGAAGTCTATATTATACGTGCTAATCATGACATACCACTTGATTTTGTGGAAAAAGTACACGGAAATTGAGTTCATCGAATTCCTTCCTGTAAAAGAAGTCATGGAGGCCATATGAAGGAGGTTATACTCAGGACTTAATTGTATTAGCAATTATTGTTTTTTTTTTTCGTTTGTTGTTTTTTGTTTTTTTAGAAGTCATAATCGGTTGTCAAAGTTGTCTTTCGGTATTTCGATTGAATTTTCAATTGTTCATAAATTTGTTTTTGATGACTCATGCCCAGCTCTTGACCGATGCTACGGCTGCTACTATGCCGGTCTCTTTCGACCAATTCAGCGATTTTATCGCAATTTTCGACGACAGGCTTTCCGTTGTGTGGCGCGTCTTCGACCACTTCTACACCAGAACGAAAACGTTGAAACCATCGTTGTGCTGTGAAAATGGAAACTGTATGGGTCCATAAACTGCACAAATTTTATTGGCGGCTTGAGATGCATTTTTGCATTTATCGCAGTAGTACTGTAAAACATGCCGTCTTTTCTCTTTATTTTGCTGCATGTTTGCGAAGCTAAACGACAATCAATCAAATACGTGTTAGGACGTGAAATGAGCTTTCCAATATATAGCATGACCCGATGCGACGAATAAAACTAAAACTACGCGCTCTCAGCGCCAACTAGCGAAAATACCGCAAGACTTTTTTGACAACCTAATATTACACTTTCTCTACGCACTTTTATCTACTTTTATTTTTCATATCATAATTTTATTTTAATTATTTGCAGTGAAGAGCACTATGGGCACATAACCTTGCTAATAAAAATGTCTAAAAATAAATTACTTCATTCGGAAAAATTTTCAATATTCACTAAATAAAATTCCAAATCTTCGATTGTCAAACCAGAACTTGTCAATGCGCTTTTTATAATAAGTAAATGCAGACTTAAATATTTTTGTACTAATACAAGCATAATCAAGTGTATCTTTCAAGAGTAGTGCTTTTGTAGTTTGTCTGCGGTTTCGGTAAATTATGGTAAATGATTATTGTAATCACATTTAAAAGTGGTAATTGTAGCTAATAACATGGTATAGGTGCTATTTAATATTTATGTAAAATTGTTTATACACATACATACTTACATGTATAAATTGTGTAAAAAATGTTTATTTTCAGCTTTTTAGAATTCCAAATGCAAATATACTCTAATTATAGCTCCAAGTAATTACCCGCTTAATAGTTAAAACTGTTTTCATGTAAATCAACATAATTCATTTGTTCAAAGGTGTCGGTTGCCGCATTATAAATAACTCACTTAATTTATGCAATCACACTGTGCTGCATAAAAAAGTGGTCACCTTGGCGACAAGTGATTTCGGAAAAATATTTGTGTGCCGGCGGTATTGGCTTAAAAAACACTTGTTTGATTTAGTTACACAAAAATTTCAAAGAGTTTGTAATTTTTTGTAGTGGTGTATTCTCATGATTAGTGTTTGAGTTATATAATATGTCAGATTCTCCGGCCTTCATAGTTATTCTGTGGTTATCAGCTATACATGCATGACAAAGCATTTGGTAAAAATTATTTTTATTCCGATACCACTTTGAAAAATTTTGTTATATTGACAACAAAAAGGTTTCGTTCAAGAATATCAAGCACTGAACCGATAACCATTTATTAAGGAACACAGTAGCTAGTATTAAAAATGTCGAGAGTATTAGCAAATATATAAAGCTTTAGCATACCGTAAATGTTTTATCTCAAAAGCAAGCTTTAATAAAGCAAAAATTAATTTTACGACCATTTTGAGGTTAGTTTTAATCTAATATGCGAACACTACACCATCGCCCAACAACTTGTAAACAGATCTAAAGAGTGATCCATTTCGAGGTATCATACTTTTTTCAACAAAAAAAAAAAAAACACAGACACTTCAAATCTAATGCGAAATGTTTATTATCATTCGAAGGAATATTGTTTGGCATTTACTTTTTGAAAATTATCTTTTTCAAAGATTGGTCGTGACTATGTCTCAGATGGTCCATCCGTTGAATCCAATCTTCGATAACTCGTTCGGGCGTTTCGACTGATAACTGGCGAATGACACGCGTGATGTTTTGCTTCAAGCCTGAATCGCAGTGGAAGCAGCCTAACGGTTTAATATCACATGATCTTGGTGACCAATCGATCGGTCAGAAACGAAATTATCTGCTCACCGAAATGTTCTCTCAACAAAACCATTGATTGATGCGGAGTGTGGATAGTGGCGCCGTCTTTTTGAAACTAAATGTTAACGAAATCACGATCTTCAATTTCGGGCATCAAATAGTAGGTTATCATGGCGCGGCACACAAACCACAGCAAAATATTATTTTTTCTGGAAGAAATGGCAGCTCTTGAATCTCTTCAGGTTGCTTTTCGTTCAAACTGTGACAATTTTGATTCTTTTCATACCCATTGAACCAGAAATGGGCCTCAGCGCTGAACTAAATTTTACTGGAAAATGACGGAACTTGGAACTTTTCAAGAGACCATGGAGTGAAGCGATGTCGCTTGGGGAGGCCGAGCAGCTTCAGTTCTTGCACAAGCTGTATTTTGTACGTTTTCAATTTAAGACGTAAAATACATCAAGCTTTTCCTTACATCAGTCCGAGTTGCTGCGAAAGGCACCGAATCGACGGTGCTACGAATAGTACGCTCAGTAGGCCGTTTATGTTGACCATTAGTTCAGCAAAGCGCGCGAAACACATTCTTTACACAACATGAGTTTTCGTAACGAGTCTTTCCATGATGAAATACCAAATAATACTGTAAAAAAATAACGTATGAGCTTGATGCAACTGATGCGGATCTATTAAAGAAAGGCTATTGAAATAAGTATCTCTATTTGGATCACCTGTCCTAATTTCACATTTTTCCAAATGTGTTGGACAATTTTTTCTATTATATATCTTGTGACAAGCAACTCTACAGATCTTTTGAATCACTTATTACGAAGCTACCGTGAATTTTACTTAAAAGAAGCACTCAACTAGAATAACTCCGCAAAATAACAGCTAATACCGGACATTCAGTGT